ACAATTATAATCCTTTTCTTTGCATGAGCTATGACCTTTTGGGTTTTTTTTTTTTTTTGAAGTCAGCAAATACACATGCACTTGCTGAGTGGAGTCATGGACCATATTTAATGTTTCCAAGAAACATTTTTAAAAGCAGACAGTTTACCACAAACTATGAGATTAGTTTAAACCAGCGTAAGTCAGAACTGCTAAACAACAGTTTACTTTCTCTTCCTTAGCAATTCATGTCATACCCTTCTTGTGTACCCATCTGCTTAAACCTTGGACTGAAAGTGACACAGGTTAAATCTAACCTGGATTAGATCCACACACCTGTTTGCTGCTGCTGTAAGAATGGTGGAGAGAGAAGGCACTGGCTTTTAAATTATCAAGAAAGTCTAACCTGAGATAAGCCAAGCTCTGGGAGAGTTTAAGATGGGTGACTGACCATTTTTAACTACCTTTTCCTCATTAAACTTGTTTTCCCTTGTAAAAGTCAGTAGATTAGACTTGCATTTTAAAAAGCAAAACTGCATTAAAGGCAACACCATCCAACAGAGTTGGTTATTAAAAACTTTCTTGCATGCTTTAATCTAACACACCTACCTGAATCCAAGTTATGTAAAGGCCAAAATATTCCCAAATATCTAATGCAACATACTAGCCAAGAAGGTGGAACCAACTGTGAGATGCTTTAGCAATTACATTAATTAGAAGAAAGACAGGTCAAGACTAGTTTTACTCACATCTTAAACTGCAGCTAGTAGGTGTGGGCAGTTTTTGTCTTTTGAGGGGGGCAGGGAATACTTTAAAGAGAATTGTAAGGAGTGAGAAATAAAGAACAGCTTGGTTTCTACTTCTTTTTAAACTTAAAAATCTGTCTCCCCTTTAAGTCTTGAATGGGAAAGTCACTCAAAGCTTCAGTGAACATGCTGAATGAAGACTAACTTCTTAGTTTATAAAGGCAGATGTTACAGTATTACATAACATTTAAGTGGTATAGAGAAATAGACCAAGCAGTGTAGAGAACAGCAGCACTATCCATTATTTGGCTAATCAGATAGTCTCTTCAGAGAGCAAAAGCAACAGAAAAACCACAGACATACTGATGGTGCAAGACAAAACAGTCAGATTAGAAGCTGGCATCACACATATTCTGTTGCCTTTAGTACTCAAATGTCTCAGTCTTCTTCACTCTTTAATTGTCCTTGGCATGTTCTGGGAAGGAAGATCAATTAACGCCCTTCTGAGAGGGCTCACTAACTCTCAGACCCTAAATGACTTATCCACCACCTGAGTTTCCAGTAGAACAGAGAACTGAAGAAAGGTGTTCAAGTCATTCTCCCTCTTCTGAAATCACACCACATACATTTCAACTCAAATGGCTAAGACTTGTTATTAAACAAAGATACTTCTTTTTTCCAAAGATACCATTCACATCCTGTTACTGAAGAGACTCATGGAATAATTCAGGTTGGTAGAGGCATCAGGGAGTCATGTAGTCCAACCTCCTAAACCAAATGGTGTCAAAACTGAATGCAGACCAAGTTGCTCAGGACTTTACTCAGCAGGGTCTTGAAAACCCCCAAAGATACAGACTGCACAGTCTTTCTGAGTAACCTGTTCCAATACTTGACTGTCTTCACAATAAAGTTATCTTCCTTGTGTCAGGTGAAGATCTACATTTCACATTTGCTGTGACAGACGTCTTTTACAAATGTAGACATGTTTCAGTAAGATCCGAGACAAAGTTTAAAAGTACATTGCTTATAGCATCTGCAGTTTTTACAGTCCTCTGCACTGCCTACGGGTAATCAAATACAGAATGGTTTCATTACAGACAAACCACTAGATGGAGCTCCTGACTACAAATATAAGAGACAGCTGAGACACTGGCGACCCCACATAACCTAAAAAAGTTATCAGAACAAATAGCGGGTTACATCTGTGCTACAAATTTGAGTCTGAAGTCTTTCTGGAGATTAGACAAGACATGTCTGCTGTGGCTAAAAATTTCTGTAAGTAGACCATTGGTTATCTACTCTTCGAATATGAAATAGATTAAACTATTTCTAAAGAGTGTTACTATGATAAATATTTCCAGTTGAATAGTTTTGTAGAGTAGACTATGTATATACTCAGAATAAAAGTAAATTAATATCTCAAGGTAAAACAGTAAGTTCCAGGAAGTCTCTAAGCCTTATACTGGAGGCTAGATGTATTTTGTATTTCCAGACTAGATTTACAAATTAACCAACCCAGCAGCCATATTGAATATTGCACGGAACTTTACTTTGAAGTTGTCATGCAGGTGAAACTCACCATACTTACATATAACAGATGAACATAAATAATCAAGTAACCAGTTTCAAGTAGGAACTGTTCAAAAATAAATTAGGTGGTAGATTTTAATAAAAAGCATCAAATAAAAGAGTTTACTCCCAATACATTAAAATCTCTGTAAACTACTCATCCAAACAAATAAGCAACAAGGAGTGTTTTGGGGGTGTGGTGCTATTAAATTCTGCAACTAAACATATTGCTAAGATTCTTCATCAACATCAGAACTAGCTAAACAAGCTATCCTATAAAATCACATACTGTGGTTTATTTAACTGTTAAAGGATGCTGTTGCACAGCACCTGCACATTTACATCAAGTATGTCATGGTGCAGACATTCCCTGCACTCTGTAATCATTTATCTTAGTGTTTTGTTTAAATCAGCTTAAGTCCTTAACTCTGCTCATCACAGTTGTGGCATAGTTACCAACTTTACAGCAGTAAAACCAGTATGAATGCAGTCAGCTTACAGTGCCATGGAGAAGCAAGTACATGTTCCATGACCCCTAATAAGATATCAACACCTACAGTATCTTTAATGGCAGATGAAGTGGCAGATGTTTGATGAAACAGATTCTTAGAGATTTCAACCAAAATTGGTAGGAGGGGGAAGAGATCAGTTGCAATAGTTGGCCATCTCCCTTCACACTCCCACCCTGTCAGTATCTTGTTTCAATTAAAAAAAAAAAACAAAAAAAACAACCCAAAACCAAACCTCCGATCAGATTGGAACTTTTTTGTGTTAAATTCAGCTTCCCTTCCATACTAGTGAAGTAGAGAGGGTGATACTGAAACTGAAATTGTAGAGAAAGGGGACTGTACATAGAGCCAGGAGCAAGTAAGCTATTGCCCCTCTACTAAGGGGTAACAAGCAATCATCTGCTCACAGCTCCAGCCCTGAAGAGTTTCTCCTTTTGGCCTTGTTCAGTTAAAAGTTCAATTAACTTCTGCCTCAGATCCTCATTTATTAGATGGGGAACAATAGCTTACCAAAGTTATCTAACTAATGGTTGATGTCAGGACAGCTCATGGAAGTGTGTGACATGATTAACACTTAAAACCCTAATTTGAGAATCAACAACCAGAAGACTGAGAACTTTCCATCAGATTGCTTAATACCTACTGATTTTTTTAGTGAGCACTCTCATATGCTTAGTCAGTGAAGGCATAAGTCTGATTAAACACTGCAATAACCATTAAGACAATCCTAAAAGATTAAGTCATCCTGCTTTAAACATATCTGAATGTTTCTTTATTAGTTACAGGTGTGCCACTAAATTGAGATGCAAATAGTTGGTATTAAGCACATTGCACTTAAAATCTTGTTTTATGAGAAAAGATATGCAAGATCTGAGAACTGGCTGCTCCCACTATTACAATACTGCTTTGCTCAGTATAGGTCAGTACTGCTTGTTCCCTCTTTGTTTCAAAGAAACCTACAAGTTTTAATCAACATTTTAGAACTTAGTGAAACTTGTTAATGAATTATTCAAGATGCCTTTAATAGTTCAAAACCCAAAAGAACTACAGGTAGTCACCTTTCAACAAGAAGATGGTAAATCTAACAGCTTTCCTTTAACATTTATTCTACATCGCTGACCTAACTTGGATTCCTATTCACAAAGAAATGCCAGATCATTTTTTACTCAAAGTGAATTTTAATTACATTCATCAATGCAAGTCAAAAAAGCATTTTATTCAATTGTTGCTTATAAGAACTGACATTGACACTCAGATCTCTTCTGAAAAAGAAAGTTCGCTGTGAAGAGACAGCCCTTGAAGTTACAGATTTCACAGAAACATTCTGTTTTCAGTGTTAGAGATAATACTCTATTTTTAGGACTTTGACAGAGATTAACTATGTTGTGCCAAATTAAGAGTTGCACCAAGCTGCTACAGAGATTTTTTTTTTTTAAATCATTTTCAAAACATAAGGATAAGCTTACCTTCAAGTTTAGCTCCATAGTGGTATTTTCCACTACTGAAGTGTGGTAAGGAAAATATAAGTGAGCCCAATCCTAGCATAAATGCTGAGAAAGCAAGCCATTGTGGTTTGTGCCCTCTTTCTCCAAAGAAAGATACAAACAGTGACAGTACACAAAAAGCAATGTCATAGCTTGCAGAGATTAAGCCAGTGAGGGAACTGTTCAATTCGTAACGCTTCTCAATTGTCGAAATACTAATATTAATCAGGCCATTTACCACAATACCTACAAAAAAAAAAGGAGATAATTAGTCAAAGATACATCAATTGGATAGAGTTCCAAGGGTAAACCCATCATTGTGTGATGGAACGGTTAAAATTAATATATTTACAAAGTTACATTTTAAGGTATTTATTAGCTTTAAAATCCAGGTGTATAGTGGATTGATACATTGCCAACTTAAGCCAGCCAAACTGCACAGGACCTATTCAACTTTTTTCTCTCCTGTGGGCATTAAAGATTCAACACTTAAGTATTAAGCCAGCAAAATACCATGCCTCAAACTCTGTTCACATATTAATGTTCCAGATTCAGTTCAAAGCACAGACAGACTTCAAACAGAATACATTACAGTGTCATAAGATACTGTAAAAATTAAAAGGAAATTAGTCAAGATTGACTTGCATTAGAATACAAGCTACAACTGAAGCAAGTTCAGGATATAGCTTTCAAACAATGATTGTCAAACAAACATAATTTCCTCCCTGCCATCACAAAGGGAAGATACAAGAAGGCTTTTGAACAGACATCCTTCCCCTGTAATACAAAAAAGTGTAAAGTTACTTAAAAATACTCTGCAGCTCTTTCAGAGCAACTGAGGTGATTAACTAAGGAAACAGTTTGCCCTCTGAATCTTGAGGTTCCTTGAAGCAGAAGTATCAGTCAACCTGGAAAAAAGGCCTTGCACAAGCTGCTCTACTTCAGCACAGGTAAATTCCAAAAAACTGATCCAAAAGTAGAAGCAAGTAAGCTGCAACTGCCAGTGCATGCTTATACACACTGTCCATTTTTACAAAAGTGTTGTTTGTAGATACTAACTTGAACCTCCCACCCTGCCTCACATTCTGTATGTGAAACACCAAGTAGTTAAAACTTAGAGGAGTTTACTTTTAACAGTCCCAAAACAGGATTCTGTTACAAGTGAGATGAATAGCTGTACTTCACCACAGTGTCAGAAAACTTCATGGTAGTCTAATTAAACTGGGCCTGTAATAAAATATATACCCTGGAAAAAAGTTAGGAAGTCTTGGAGTCACAGTTGCATATAAGAGTTCTGTAACCTCACAGATGACAGATGAGCATCTCCCATGACACAGGCCCTACAGTTATCCTTCCTCTTTGATTCTCTACTATCATTCCAACACCAGAACAAAAGGAGAGATGACTGGGAACAGTAACAGATTTAAGTTAGTTTTCAACAGGCACTGCACCACCCAGAAGTGCAACTACACAGGCTGAACTTCAACAGGTCTGCTTAAGTGCTCTACATACTAAAAAAAATTACTCCAAGTGTGTGATCAACCAGCTGTTTTCTTACCAGTGCAATCCCCACCATAACTAAACACTTCAGCTTTCTATAAGGAGGCAGCTATTGGCACAGTCTTAATTTTCTAATACTCTGCTACAGCCTCTTTATCAAGGATGACAATTTCACCTGTCAGTCTGACCACCACACTTAAATTAATATGGGAATAACAGAGGTATTCAGGTGTTCCTCCACTGCCATTATTTATACATTTAGCAGCTTTATTTTCTTAAGGAGCATTGACCAAAGAACAATACTAGCATGAAGGAATGAACAAACAAGTTCTTCCCATTTGCCAGCACTTCAAACATTTACTAAGCCCTTAAAACATTCACATGAAGTAGGTGTGCTACATAGTGAGTTGGTTACAGAACTAGAAGACATTGTCTTTTACCTGTAGTTTAAGCTGCCACCCTTAATTTATATCCTAAAAGACATAAAACCTTGCAGTTAATTTTATTGGCTAATTAGACTTCATCTGTAAAAATGTAAATGTGATGAATGGCAGTATAACTTCTCAATGCCATCATCTAGTGATTAATCACTAAAATCTCTTCAGGAAACATGGAGCCTGGCTGGTACTAACTTGATGTGAAAAACAAATTCTACAAGGACATCGCAACACTTCAATAGTAGTATAGAAATTATTTTTTAACTATTCTCATCCAAAACCTTATTGTCCTGCCACATCTGTTAGGAGTTTAGGTACAGTGTGTACTGACCCACAAAATCCAGATTAATCATAAACCAACTTCACTTGCTCTAAGAAAAAAAAAGAGTATTTTTTCTTCATCCCTTTAACCGAAAAAAACCCATGCTTTACAGTTGTTATAAGTATGATGGCTTTAAAGCAGTGGTTTGTAGACACTCAATCAAAAAAGAAAAAAAAACAAAAACACAAAAATAACTTAAAAATCTTTCTCGTAACAAATCTGATCAGGGTATAAAAATATTAGCACCATCCAAATTTTTCAGACAGATTAGACTGGACCAGTCTCAAACAGTGGTTCTGTTGGTTTGTTTAATAAAATTATTACTGACATGAGTTAGAAACAGCCCTTCCTGCACTCAAAATAGTGAGATAACTTCTACCTTGTTTGCTACTACAGCTATAAACTGCAGCATATCCTGGTTTTGTATTACAAGATGCAATCATACATTTATGCAACTCTAAGTGCCATACAGAAAGCAGGTATTAGTCATGTAACTATGTTCTACACAAAGAAGTGTTTCTATTCTGGAAATACAGGTTTCACATGTACTTGAAATAGAAACAGCCAGAAATGAAGAGTTAAGTTTCACCTGGAATCTTCTGAGGAGCTGAATTACAGCATATCAGGTGCTAATGGTAACAATAACCTCTTTCCTAGGGCAGCTAGAAAATAATCTAATAAATACATGCCTTCAGTTAGACACACACACACAAAAATCTACACACATGTACCAGGTCACTGCAGATAACTACCTATGTTCACTCATTGTATAAAAAGTCTAGTATAACAACTTACATACATTAAAAGTGTGTTAACTACTATTGCATTGTTCTTTGGCATATTAGGAAATAACCTTTCCTAGATGTACATTAGCATTAGCAGGTTTTATAGATGTATTTTATCTTCCTCAGTGATGGTTTCCTGTAATTTGGAGGGTGAATTAAGTAATTGAACCCAAAGCTAGAGTAAAGTAGTAGCTCACGTAACTTCAAAATCCCAGTGTTGTTTTGTGTGCTTTTATCTAAACTCTGAAGCTGCAAGACCTAAATATTTTCCCAAAGTTTCACATGCAGCACTGAATATCTTGTCTGAAAGTGATTGGTGTTTTTCATGCTTCTCAAAAAGAGTTGCAACTTGAGTCTACAGTGCCAGATTTCCTTTCTACAATCTAGCCAAAGGAAAGATACTTGTTCAGAAAATCCAGATAACACATCATTAAGAATGCCACAAGGTCTATAATAGCCATGCCTACATCAGCTTTCAAAATGAGCATCAGAAGTTTCCTTACATTAAGGTCCTAAATCTGAACTAGATTAGATAGGTACCACAGGACAACGACATGGATAAGTGGCATAACCAGCACCCATAGCACCCTGAGGGGACAGAGAAGATACAAGACCTTTTTGTGACTGGGAATGTACCAACACTACTAATAAGAGATAAAATTTAAACGATACTGAATTCATTGTTCAGCTGAGCAGACAATCAGATCAGCACAGCAAACTGGATTTTAAGAAATATTGCTATAGCAAATGTAGAAGTGCTGGAAATATTCAAGTCTAGTTTGCATGATCTAAAAGTCTTCTAGTAATCAGCTGCCACTGAAATCTACCATGTAAGAAGTTCTTCCACTCCTCCCTTTCTTTTACTATGCTAGAGAAAATAAATCTGAGCTAACAGCAGAACAACTGCAACAGTAATCACCTCCTGGTCCTACCAGCTATAGCACAGCCTTTCAAATACAAGTAAGGAACAACAGGCTCTGCCCAAAACTCTCTAGATACTTTTCTAACACAACATGTGTATGTTAAGAAAAGATCAGATTCTAAACACCTTGAAATCAGAAAGAGTTCATGGAAACACATACTGAAAGACACTGGTTCTTCTAAGGATTTTCCAAGCAACACAAGCAGCAGTCAGATCCTTCTAGGTTTTAAGCAGAACCTTCTACTCAGTTCTCCTCAGACCACCTCAGTTACCTCAGTGTGGTTCCAGGCATGAACACAGCCATCCATATTCCACCCGTCTTTAGCATAGTCCGCCTGCTCTTCTAGCACTGAATCTCTTCTCCATGTCCCCCCACACCTCTACAGCAGTCTCATTCTTTACAAGCAAAAAGGATGAGCTTTAAAGCCTCAATTTTTCAGGAAACAAGTTTTCTTTTCTAGCTAGTCCAATAAAGTTGAAGGGTTCTGAACATTAATCCAATAGCTCCTTTTGACAGGAGAATATCTAAGCTTTACAAACCTCAAGTTTGTACATTTGGTACACTAATGCTTCCTCTCCCCCTCAGCCATTATTACCACTTTCTAAGCCTAAGGCTTGCCAAGATCCTAACACATCTTGTTAGAGAAAACCAAAAATATGGACAAGAATATGTGAAGCTGAACAACAGACATCAAGAGCAAGGTAAACTTCAGGTTCCCCCCAAGGTTAAGTTAAGCTGTTAGGCAAGTGTTAGAAAGATGACTGCACTGGGATCCACAGAACAAAACCAGATTTTTTTTAAAGCCATCTTAATTAGCCAAAGTCCCACCCAACCACACCAAGGTACCTTCTTAACTGTCAGGCAGGTAACAAAGTACATGCTAGGGCACTAAAGTTTTGTCTACTGTTTTATATCATGTGTTTTATTCCCTGAGTTATATGTCTCAACCTGTGAGGCACATATGGAGCACTAATTTCCCTGTGAGCAATGGGGACGCAGTCTAGAGTAGAGCATGAAGCACAGAGCAGATGGGACCATGGACTCATCAGTGGTCAAAAAGGTAGGTAGGAAAAGAAGAAAAGGAGGAACAGAGCTAAGTACAGAGACTAATACTGTATGAGCAGCTTCCCTATCCAGGGCACTACAGTACTTTCTTCCCCTAGTGAAGCCACTACTGTCACTTTTCAGCAACAGCACCAGACTCAGGCAGCTGGAGGAACCCTGCCTCCCCTTCCCCACCACCCAAATCACCACCACTACCTCCCCTGCCTTCCCAAGCCCAGGCTCCCACTTGGCCTCCCCTGCAGCTCCAGGATGGAGAGCTAGATGTGCCCAGGGCAGCAGAAGGCCTGCAGGGGCCAGGTCCCACAGGGAAGGTGGAGAGGAGTGCAGCAGGCCTGCGGCTCCGGACAAGGCAGCGAGGACAGGTTACCTTGGAAGATAGCCAGGAGGCTGTAGGCAGCCAGGTAGCCCTCAGGATTGTTGCAGAGCTGCAGAGCCTTAGGTGCGCAGCGGCCCCACCCGCAGGGCCCCTCCTCAGCCTCAGGGACGCCGGCATCTGCCCCGGCGGGGCTCGCCTGGCGCTGGCGGCGGAGGTCGGGGCTGGGTGGCTCAAACACCGGGTTCTCGATACCGTCACCCTTCATAGCGCTACGAAGCCGCTGCCCAGCACCGGCTGCAAGTGACGGCAGGCGCAGCGCTCCTCTAAATACCCGAGAACGGGCCGGCCCCTACGGGGGCAGGTGGCGGCGCTTTCCCCCTCCTTCCGAGGAGGGCGGCCCGCCCCGACCCGACCCGACCCGACCCCGCCCTGCTGGGGGCCA